TTCGTTGGCTCTCCCGACCACCGCTCGATAATCATTGTTGTTATACGCCGTCCTGGGCTCGGGGCCAATTATCACTGCCCACCTGTGCCCCCCCCCCTGTACCGCTGTTTCTCGCCCTGAGGGACACTTTGTTGGAAATTGTTGAAACTTGGGTGCCTTTTGCGCGCTGACACGTAAACCCCATTGGTCACAATTGGGAGTGATGCACTTTTGGCGTGGTTAACGTTTGGACCGATGATGACCCCGTTGGCCGTTGTTTTCTAGAAATACGTCGTAAGTATTTTGTACCACAGAGGGGGGAGGTGGGTTGAAAACAGAAAGAGAAAAAAGAAAAAGAAAATGTGGGAAAAAAAGAGCCCGACGAAGTTAAGTGTGCTAAAACTGGCTTCACCCCGATACAAAAGTGCTGGACGCTCTCGTTTAGTGTCCCATTGGTCCAAATCATGACGACGACGCGATGATGCAACGAAACAGACCGTTTCTATGGTCGGCGGCTTTTTTTCAATTACAAGTATACTACAACACCGGCGTGTCAAGTGTAGGACAAAGAAAAATATACGCAACGAGTGCCATCTCTACCGTAGGGTGGCCAAAAAGGCTGTACCCACTCGCGCCAGAGGATTTAACGAGCCGTTCGAGTGAGCGTGTAAAAAAATAGCGAGGCAACCGCAGAGGATATGGCTGTAGGTATACGTTACAACGAGTCTCTTTTGATTCATGATTCGTGTAGGTATATGTATGTGTATTGGGGGTAATATAAACAGTGCACATCTGTATTGGAGGAGTTCGCTTGCGCCTGTGTGTACACGGAGCACTTAAGTGGGTGTATACCTTATATAAGAGGTCGTCGACTGTAAATACCATCAGCAGATCGGCACTCTCTCGTGTATTTGTGCGTACACTGTGACACACTCATCAAGACTATTTAGCTGCTGGTGCTTATTTGCACTATATATGATGGTTGTGGGCATTTTTATCGAGACTAGCGATTTTAACTATATGATACACAATGTGCTATTTTAAAATACGCTTATGGTAACGATTGCATACGTGCATGACCTGAAATCTTTGAAAAATCGAAAGAGTTGAAAAATATAAATAAATAAACAAACAAAAAACATTTTTTTCTTTATTTTACCTGTACGACTGACAATTTCCAAATTTACGATGTCACACAGTCATCATTTGTAAGAATTTTTTTTTTTTTCGTGAAGTCTAGTCATCGTTCCTAAAGTAAATATTACAGCTTTAAAAGTAGTTGTCACCAAAACACACTACGTGCCATTTATTTTTCACACCATCTGTTTTTTCGGCGTATGAGATAAAATATCAATCTGAAGGACATTAATTATCCATCTATCAGTAATTTTTTAGATTTTTTAACATCCCCACAGGTATACCAGGGCGCGTGTGAGGCTAATGGCGAGCAGAGGTACAATATGGCACAGGAGCCATATTGGAGCCCTGAAACGTATGGTTATTTGGCCCATCTTGGGTTAGAAAAAGTGCCACACATGGGATTGCTTGTAAAATGAAGTCGATAAGCGTTGCGGAAAACAATACATATTGTAAAGTTGATTATCATTTATTTTATGTATCCGCACTGATTGGCCGAAAGACATTTTTTTTTTTTTTTTTTTTTATCGTCGCTCAAGTACTGTTACAGGTGGAGCGTCGACTTCTCGCGCGGTGGCCTCATAAGACATTTTTTTTTTTTTTTTTTTTTTATCGTCGAGTTATCTCTCCACTGGTCAAACATATAAGACGCCTTGCTTTACTCGTGGCAGGGTGGATATTAGCCCGGCACTCCTCATTTGCCGAGCTCTTAGCGCGACAAGAGGTCGATTGCTCTTCTTTTTTTTTTTTTTTTTTTTTTTTTTTTTGCACGCCACTGTACTAACTCACATGTATACATATAAGCACTACATGGGTATACGCTAACTCGTGGTCTCGCGGCTTTCTCCCCGTTTACCTTCCTTTCCCTTTTAAAACTTGGACATTTTGCACGGGAAATCGATATAGTCACGCCGTGTCTTGGCTTACATAAATATTCGCCTCGAGACTTTTTTTTTGTTTTCGTGTCCTTCTGACTACTAGCTTCGGATAAGTAAAACCGAGTCACTTAAAATTATTTGTTTATCAGTAATGAACTCGCTGAAGCTCTGTGTATTTCAATTTTCTTGGTAATTCGTGTTCAATCTATATTTTGTATGTGTATACATGTGTACGTGTGTTACGTTTGGCGTAGTGCTTGGCCTCGACACGATGAATAAATAAATACATCCAATCGATGAGTAAACGTAGGTACATCATTCTAAATTGTACCACTTCCGTGTGAAAATGTTATTTGTCGAGTAAAATATTATGAAGCAGCGCCACTCTGTGCTTGTTTGACGTTGCTTGCCTTTTATCGGGAAAATCCCATCTTAAATCAGATCGAGCATAATTAGTTGAAACGGCCATCGTCATCGTTAATAATCGACTTTCCTTTTCCATTGTGGTATAGACGCATTAAAGCGACACTCGGCGTTGGCCATCCCCTTTAAAGAGTCTCAAGGAACAAATAGTCCCAAAAGTTTACGTTTGGTTACTCCAATATGACCGCACTTTCGACAGCTAAAATTTCTTTTCTTCTTTAATTTATGACATCAAATTTGTATAAACTACGTCATCCAGTATCACCGTTACTTATTGTACGCAAGGGATGCTACTTGAGCTCACAATAAAATTTCGTGATTTTTCGTATGGATGATAGAAACATGAAAACAATTTGGCTTTTTTTTTTGTTTTTTTTTTTTTGTTATTTCATAAACTTCCACTTTTTATCCACAGCTCGCGATTCGAGCTCTTGTTACGTAAATGAATAAACGATGTCGAGTGAGGGATTCGAGTTGGCGGTTCGATTGGCTCAAGCCAAAGTGCGCGGCCATCAACGGAAAGAGGCACAACGCAGATGAAGCTCATTTTTACACTGAAAATAAACGTTCGACGCCGATGAGCACAAACTTTGGACAACAAAAGTTGTTCTCGAGTTAATGGCTGGTACCATCCTGTATAGTAACGAGGCTTGTTTGCAGAGGAGCAGCTGTTCTTTTGTAAATGCGTTAGTAAAGAGTCGATTCTTACAACCATTAATTTTACAGTTATTTACCGTTTGGTATCACCTAATCCTAACTCTAAATGTACACCTTGATGAATCAAAACCAATTAAATATTCATCAACAACAACAAGGCTTTATCAAGTGGCCTATTTATTGATTTTTGTTTTGAATAATAAATAAGGGGTTTTCAAAAATAAAGCAATTTCTATCGTGAAATCACCAGTTGTATACAGTGGACGAGAGAAAGAGATAAATAATTGCCATCGCTGTTGCTTCGATCGGTAAAATGCATGGTCGTGCACGTAAAGAATCGCGAGCTGGTCAACCTATTTGTCTATTTTTGTAGTACCACCGAAAACAAGCGAACAAGTTACAGCTACGATTCTTGGGTTTTCGTAACATCGCGAAAAAAGACATAAAAGTGTGGACGTCCCAATTTGGATTTGGCGTACACATCCCCGGATGGCCGATTAATCACTGTGGCTTTCGTGTTGTTTTTTTTTTGTTGTTGCTCCGTTCGACATGTGTTTGTACGTGTGTATATTTTTTTTTAGACCACGAAGTGGTTGCGCAAAGAGGGGCCGGCGTTTTTGCGTGGGCTTGTATCAGTTTTGGAAAAGACTCGGGTTTGAGACGCGAACGAAGGCATCTTTTAAAAATATTTTCCCCCGATCGATTCCCCCTTAACTGTATATCAAATGTGTACAAAGTCGGTGGCGCACACGCGTGTGTACACGTGGTACAAAGACCAACGATATACATTTGATACGATTCTGCTCTGTGTGTGTGTGTGTGTGTGTGTGTGGACATACACCATACGATCGAACAAACGCGTTTTATAGCGATAAGCAAATAATTTGATTGACGACGTGTACGTGGTGTACAAGTAAGATTGAAAAAAATTTCTTATCGAGTGCGGATGAAAGTTTTTATTTTTTTTCTTCTTCTTCTTCTTCCTCCCCTCTTTGCGGTCTATAGTGTAAAACAAGCCAACACATAAAAATAAACTCGCGTCTTTCATTGATTTCGGGAAATAAATGAAGATACAGCGCGGCCGCTAAATACCAAGGATAAACCGGGCGTGAAAATAATAACAAATAAACCATAAAGTCGATAAAATGTTGTTAAAGGTGATGTATATACAGCACACGAGCAGCAGCAACGTTATACATAACATATTTTACATAGCCGTTGCAACCGCTAAGGCCATCAAATCCGAGCGGTGATACAATAGACCTTGGGGATTTTTCGGTGTATGTAATTACATCGGTTATACTCGCATACTATTGCATATTTTTCCCAGTAACTTCACGGTTCGTTAATGTAGGACGTGCGTAAGAACAGTACACCGTGGGTCAAAGAAGAACAGTACAAAGTGATGTTTAATAATAATAACAGATGTTTGTGCTTATGCGTATACGTGCACCTACAATATACGATGAAAATGTACAATTGCTTTTAAATTCGACGATACCGTCCAGCCGAAATCGCGACGCTATATTCATGTGTGACGTGCAAAATAAATTAAGCCGATCGATTGCAGTTCAATGGTCATCGACACCAAACCTCACGAATATAGTTTTGGGGTACGGTTTGCAAACGAAAAGACAATACATGTGTATATCCTTGGCCAAGTTTGTCACTCTCCCATTCGGTACATACATACATGTATGCGCATCGTGAAAATTGTAATGACGAGTCGATGAGATGTTCAATGAAAATCAAAGTCTACGATGGGTACGGACGAGAGTGTTTATAGTCACGTTATCGGGTCCCTCGTCGCGCACGTGTCGCTACTGCGTAACCAACCACGTAATATGAACTCCAAAAGTTTCCTCGGCCTGTACGACCGGAGTATAGGTATGCGTACAATCTAAATAATATCTCGCGAGCACTTACCGATATAGCTGTGCTGTGCGAAAAGAGTCCGTCTCGCACGCCAATAATCAGCCTTCGGTCACCATGGCATCGCCGAGCGCCAAACACACTGCACTTGTCACCAAGAGTGAGAGAGGAAAAAAAAAGAAAAGAAAAAAAAGCCCTACATGAAACAGCAACAGTGGTCCGTGCACGTGTGCATCCTGCCTCTTCACTTTGACTGACAGCCGCTGAACACAATACCGGTGCTTGTCGATCTTTCAAACGAGACCACGAGAGAAAGAAATTCAACCAATAGTGCGAAAGAAAAAAAAAAAGAAAAAAAAAAAAAAAGGCTAAACACAAGAGAGAAAAGAGAACGGAAAAGGCGATTCGAGGTGCGTAAGTGTATCGCGAGCCGCGAAGGCACGATAGAACGGCGCGGCGGCGATCGCGACCGGCCAATGGGCTGTGAAGTACTAGCACTACGCGGCTGCAGCTTTGCTACTCTCGGCGACGCTTGCCAGCGCCGGAATGTACGATACACACCACGGCTACGATGTTGCTATATAGCTCGTCGACGGTGCTGGCACAACCCGGTCATGACTTACACGCTCCAGTACGTGTAGCCCTATAATATATACACACCCACGCGTATATCGTCACCACGTGTACATACACATGTACACGTTGGAATCACGAGGGGGTACGGTGGTCGCTCCCACCCGAGGTATACAAGCTCGTGTGGCGCAGCCCTTGTGTGCAGCCCGCGACAGCTGATCGGCCGGGTGTCGTCTCTTGATTTATGGCTTTTATACGTCGAGATACGGATTACGGGCTGTATAATGTGCAACCGATTTTTGGAACTGCGCACAATGTTTTTCCTTTTTGGTGAAATAATTGTAAATCTTGACTTTTTTTTTTTTTTTTTTTTTTTTCGGATTATACCTATAACTTAACAATATTTTTGTCAAACTCGAGTTGAATCACTTGGTTTTGAAATACTTCAATGAAACTTGTAACGCATGTAAACTTCGGCCTAATCAACGTCTTTTACTTTATCAGCTCGTGTGGATTAATTTAATCGCCATCAAAGCAATATGTAGTGTAATTTTTACCGATTTCTCTTATTTTTGTGTACCATTAACTTACTTAGTCATCGTATTTATTGTATATTATTTCCAAAGTGAAAACAAAATATTCGCTTCGTCGAGTTGAAACGTGTAAACATAAGACAACGATTGATTATTCAACTTGTACGATTTTTAATGTTAAAAAAATGTGTCCTGCCAAAGCGTTTTTTCAAACTTTCGAATCCATTAGATGATTTTTCAAATATTTTGACAATTATTCGCTATAAAAGCATGATACACTAGTAACATGTTCTTCCCTTTGATTACACGAGATGTGTTACGAGGTCTACATGATTATGTCCACTTTCATGCTCATTTATAAATATTTTTATATTTTATTGATTAACAAGCCACTAGTGCTACAAAAGGAACAAATAGTCCCAAAAGTTTACGTTTGGTTACTCCAATATGACCGCACTTTCGACAGCTAAAATTTCTTTTCTTCTTTAATTTATGACATCAAATTTGTATAAACTACGTCATCCAGTATCACCGTTACTTATTGTACGCAAGGGATGCTACTTGAGCTCACAATAAAATTTCGTGATTTTTCGTATGGATGATAGAAACATGAAAACAATTTGGCTTTTTTTTTTGTTTTTTTTTTTTTGTTATTTCATAAACTTCCACTTTTTATCCACAGCTCGCGATTCGAGCTCTTGTTACGTAAATGAATAAACGATGTCGAGTGAGGGATTCGAGTTGGCGGTTCGATTGGCTCAAGCCAAAGTGCGCGGCCATCAACGGAAAGAGGCACAACGCAGATGAAGCTCATTTTTACACTGAAAATAAACGTTCGACGCCGATGAGCACAAACTTTGGACAACAAAAGTTGTTCTCGAGTTAATGGCTGGTACCATCCTGTATAGTAACGAGGCTTGTTTGCAGAGGAGCAGCTGTTCTTTTGTAAATGCGTTAGTAAAGAGTCGATTCTTACAACCATTAATTTTACAGTTATTTACCGTTTGGTATCACCTAATCCTAACTCTAAATGTACACCTTGATGAATCAAAACCAATTAAATATTCATCAACAACAACAAGGCTTTATCAAGTGGCCTATTTATTGATTTTTGTTTTGAATAATAAATAAGGGGTTTTCAAAAATAAAGCAATTTCTATCGTGAAATCACCAGTTGTATACAGTGGACGAGAGAAAGAGATAAATAATTGCCATCGCTGTTGCTTCGATCGGTAAAATGCATGGTCGTGCACGTAAAGAATCGCGAGCTGGTCAACCTATTTGTCTATTTTTGTAGTACCACCGAAAACAAGCGAACAAGTTACAGCTACGATTCTTGGGTTTTCGTAACATCGCGAAAAAAGACATAAAAGTGTGGACGTCCCAATTTGGATTTGGCGTACACATCCCCGGATGGCCGATTAATCACTGTGGCTTTCGTGTTGTTTTTTTTTTGTTGTTGCTCCGTTCGACATGTGTTTGTACGTGTGTATATTTTTTTTTAGACCACGAAGTGGTTGCGCAAAGAGGGGCCGGCGTTTTTGCGTGGGCTTGTATCAGTTTTGGAAAAGACTCGGGTTTGAGACGCGAACGAAGGCATCTTTTAAAAATATTTTCCCCCGATCGATTCCCCCTTAACTGTATATCAAATGTGTACAAAGTCGGTGGCGCACACGCGTGTGTACACGTGGTACAAAGACCAACGATATACATTTGATACGATTCTGCTCTGTGTGTGTGTGTGTGTGTGTGTGTGGACATACACCATACGATCGAACAAACGCGTTTTATAGCGATAAGCAAATAATTTGATTGACGACGTGTACGTGGTGTACAAGTAAGATTGAAAAAAATTTCTTATCGAGTGCGGATGAAAGTTTTTATTTTTTTTCTTCTTCTTCTTCTTCCTCCCCTCTTTGCGGTCTATAGTGTAAAACAAGCCAACACATAAAAATAAACTCGCGTCTTTCATTGATTTCGGGAAATAAATGAAGATACAGCGCGGCCGCTAAATACCAAGGATAAACCGGGCGTGAAAATAATAACAAATAAACCATAAAGTCGATAAAATGTTGTTAAAGGTGATGTATATACAGCACACGAGCAGCAGCAACGTTATACATAACATATTTTACATAGCCGTTGCAACCGCTAAGGCCATCAAATCCGAGCGGTGATACAATAGACCTTGGGGATTTTTCGGTGTATGTAATTACATCGGTTATACTCGCATACTATTGCATATTTTTCCCAGTAACTTCACGGTTCGTTAATGTAGGACGTGCGTAAGAACAGTACACCGTGGGTCAAAGAAGAACAGTACAAAGTGATGTTTAATAATAATAACAGATGTTTGTGCTTATGCGTATACGTGCACCTACAATATACGATGAAAATGTACAATTGCTTTTAAATTCGACGATACCGTCCAGCCGAAATCGCGACGCTATATTCATGTGTGACGTGCAAAATAAATTAAGCCGATCGATTGCAGTTCAATGGTCATCGACACCAAACCTCACGAATATAGTTTTGGGGTACGGTTTGCAAACGAAAAGACAATACATGTGTATATCCTTGGCCAAGTTTGTCACTCTCCCATTCGGTACATACATACATGTATGCGCATCGTGAAAATTGTAATGACGAGTCGATGAGATGTTCAATGAAAATCAAAGTCTACGATGGGTACGGACGAGAGTGTTTATAGTCACGTTATCGGGTCCCTCGTCGCGCACGTGTCGCTACTGCGTAACCAACCACGTAATATGAACTCCAAAAGTTTCCTCGGCCTGTACGACCGGAGTATAGGTATGCGTACAATCTAAATAATATCTCGCGAGCACTTACCGATATAGCTGTGCTGTGCGAAAAGAGTCCGTCTCGCACGCCAATAATCAGCCTTCGGTCACCATGGCATCGCCGAGCGCCAAACACACTGCACTTGTCACCAAGAGTGAGAGAGGAAAAAAAAAGAAAAGAAAAAAAAGCCCTACATGAAACAGCAACAGTGGTCCGTGCACGTGTGCATCCTGCCTCTTCACTTTGACTGACAGCCGCTGAACACAATACCGGTGCTTGTCGATCTTTCAAACGAGACCACGAGAGAAAGAAATTCAACCAATAGTGCGAAAGAAAAAAAAAAAGAAAAAAAAAAAAAAAAAAAGGAAAGAAAACGAGGATCGAGGGGAAGGGATGGAAAGAAGACTGTTTCGATAAACTTTTTCGTCGGCGCGCGCAAGGGGAGACAAGTTAAACTGCATATGCATTTTTTGCCCGTACCTTCGTTTCGAAACTTTTTGGTTGCTGGCACAGTGTATATATACCTACATGAATATTCATTGTTGTTGCTTTCGAAAAGAAGATATATATATATGTTTTTCGCATCCGAATACGCAAGCAGAGGACACGGAGCTGTGGATACAGTTTTTTTTCTTCTCCTCTCATTTCACGATGAATAACGCGTGTGTATATATATAAATGTTAAGGTTGAGAGAAAGAGTTATTCCGGCGTGGCGAGCTCGAATAAAAGAGCAGCAGAAGGGGGTACATGTATACTTTCCGCGTGAGGGGACAGCGTGAATGGATNTTCTTCGTTTAATAATATTTTTTTAGATAGAATCCTGCCCATATAATAATATTAACGAATGAAGGGAATCTTTCATGATTATTTCAGACGTACAATGATTTAATCAGTTAGTCAACGAAAAGATAATTTTTTTTTCTCTCGCAGTAACGAAATTTAGGCAGTCTCATTATCATTTATAATATTCCATATTATTTTAAACTCTCGATAATAAGGACAGGGCCACGTACCGCTCAATGACATTTTTACTTTTTTTTTTTATTAATTTTTAAACACTATCAATGTACGAAAACAATATTTGACTTAGTACCTGTCAAGCCCCGGTAAATATGGCGAAAACTACCATTTTGTTAAAATATTTGCAAACAAATATTAACAAAATATAAAATTCAACAGTTTCATGTAAATAAAGAAAGACGATCTCAAGGCCCACTATAATAAAGAGATAAATGTAAGCTTAACGTCCATCATAATTATGTTCTATAGATACTCTTTAGAAAGTTTCACACAAATTAAAGTGCACAGCTACAACGGTAAAGGGTACAATGAACAAGGTTTTCCAATTACGTACTGCCTGGTGAGCACACTAATTATCTCACTCTTAGAGAAAAGGAGAGAGGGGTTAATTAAAAACGAGTGATCGATAGTTGCTTTTAAAATTTTTTACCCCATAAAAACGTATGCATCACGCATTACATCCATTATAAAATAAAAAAATGTAATTATGTACTACTTTAATTTTAAATCAACTATAATGAAGTAAAATTATTTGTCCAGTTGTGTCTTCTAGAGGACCAACTGTAATACAATAGTAATTTTTCAAAAAACCCCGCCAAAAAAACCACGTGATATGTCCTGGCCAATAACTGAGCAAATAAAAAAAGGCCTTAGTCACGAGACAAACTTATTCCCCACGTTCATTAACTCATTAACAAACAGGGTTACTCACTCGGATCTGGTTTGACGAAGAAAGATCTAATGCGCTTATCGCTCGATAATTTAGAATAAGAAATTTGTCGACATCAAGCGACATAGTAGTACATCGGTTGATAAAATATTGAAATAAATGGAAAATGATCAATTGAAATAAAAAGATGTGTTGTAAAATGGTAAACTTGGAATTTAATGTAAATGCACAAGCATCTAAAAAAAAATGTGTATAAAACTGTAAAAACTTAAGTCTTGATTTCGACTAGTGTAGATACTCAACATGTCAATCTGTTTCATTCACCCTTGTGATTGGCCCAATACCCATTATCCAGATAAGAGGGGCATTAGTAGTTATGGTAACCTCTGGTTGGCCACTGTAAGTGTTTGATGTGCTTATTAACTCGCCGAATTTCATACAAGTGTTATCTGTCGAGTTGAAATTGCGTTTTCCATATTATAATGAAATATGATGCACACTTTAACCAAAGACTTGGTGTACTTACTCAAATTCCACTTGAGGCCAGTGGTACTAACCCTGTTGTTTGAATCTCCAAATGGAATCAGAGCACACCAGACCTTTTTTTCCAGCAAAATCTTTGGTATGATTATCTTGTGTGATCCAACTTTTAACAGCCATGTTAAGGAATTACTAGAAATTTGAACTACCTACGAAACAAACATATTACGAATCGTCAATAAAAGGTTTGATAATACGTTTACTCACCCACAAATCGTTCAAAAACTTGTCACATTTGTACAATGTATTGATATTAGCTATTACGTGGTCCAATCTCCCTTCAGTTTCTGCAACGACGTGTACCCCATTTAACTAGAAGGAAGATATATTCCATCACTGTATTAATTCTTTTTTTTTTTTTGCACATTTCTTTTTCGCGGTAAACAACAGCCAACAGTTACTTTAATATTATTTTTGATACTGTACTCTTTAAGCTCCCTCAAACTCTTCGTAAAATCTGTTTCCATAACGTCTGGAGTAACAATTATTTTAGCTTTTATACTTTTTAATTTATTCAACAAGTCTTGCGAGATGCTATCCATATCCCCGGTCACTAGGGTTGGCAAGTATTTTTTACATTTTCCTGACAAAACGTCGTTTGCTCTATCCCCCAAGTACTTTATCCAGTGATTTGTACCTCCATCGACCGTGATAGTAACTTGTGCTGTTGATAATAATAATGGTTTTTTTTTTTTGTTTTTTTTTTTTAATATTTAAGGTCATAAGATATCGGGTGATAATTTGGCATATGGCAATAAAATACCTTTTTCCCACTGGGACAATACATAGTCGCGAGGAAGGTGAATTGATTGGTTCAAAACAACAAGTGCGAATTTATGATCGTCTGGACAATCGAAAATTCGTTGAGGTACCCAAACGATTTCTTGATTTTGCATCATGCAACGCTGTTAAATGTTTGCAAGTATAAAAAAAGAGAGGAAAACCACATCGTAAAAAAAGTATGAGAGGTTAAGAGTTTAAATTCAAGAATGAAGGATATCTTTCGATAGCTGAGTTAATTTAACAATACTTAACTGATTTGAAAGTACGGAGAGATCGAAGAAAAAATTTAAAGAATTCATTTCACTTGGATAACGTTTAACAAATAAAATTACGAGCTCTTATAAAATTTGTAAACAAGGAATCGTTATATATTCGGTAAAATAATCGACTGCAGCTGTGTACTCGGTAAAATATATTGTCAGATAAACAGTGCTAATTTTAAGCTTATTTCAAAATAATTGATCAGCCAATGAGATGTCGAGGCATGATTTTGAAATTTTTTTTAATGTTTCATTAGAACTATGATAAGATTGTTACTACCTATAGGCTGTGCACGTGGGTGCCTCCGTGTATGTTAGTACAGCTTTTATCGATTCCAGTTTATCGCGGTGAACCAGTACGACTAGCTCTATCTTCCGGGGTTTACCTGAATCTACTAATGTGGTCAATTCTACGAAACAAGTCGGTATCGTACTTGTGCACTGGCTCGGTAAATTTTGTAAAATTTGAAAAATTTATGAATGTATACTACAAAATATTGAACATTCCTCTTATAAGGTATGTCGTCAATG